TCTCTCTCTCTCTCTCTCTCTCTCTCTCTCTCTCTCTCTCTCTCTCTATGCAAAGATCAATAATCTCTATGTAAATTAATGTCGATCGAGTTATATTGTATGCGACGAAAAAACCACTTTGTAGAAAATAACGAAAAACGTGGGAGGAAATATAATAACGTATTATCGTTCGCGAATGTGTTCGACGTACGATACGAATATACTAAAGCTATCTTAATTTTTACTCTCTTTTTTTTATTCCTTCCTTTCTCTTTCTTTCTCTTTCTCGTGTTTATACTCACGAGAAAGTATTATCATCGTATATTATTGCGTAGCCTGCGTAGGACGTGTTCATAGGTACATATGTTTAACAATATATTTACCCGAGCTTCTCTTTTTTCCGTAGATATCGCGCAACCAACTATAGCGCGACGATCATCCATTCCGTTGATGCGTGTGACGCGGGCAATAAAAAATAATAAAAACGCAACATTTACGATCGAACTCGCCCCCGTTTCCCCATAGAAAATATTCGTGCCATTTCATACAAAAAAATTTGAACTTACTCACCATTTTAACGAACGTATCCTAAATTACCGTCTAATTATCGAGCGATAACGTATGATACAGAGTCTGTGTACAAAATCGCTGCGTAAATGTATCCATGTGTATTTGTGTGTGTACGCACGTGCAATATGCACGTACGTTAAAATTTTCACGCCAGATTACAGTTTGCAATGTTTTGATTCGCAAACGCAAACTCCATATCTTTTCCTACGTGCGATAATAGCGACGATAGTTAATATTTCTACTCTAGGAACTCGTGAGGATGTCTCGGCTCGATCGATTCGTATGAGGTATGAGGTAATACCACGCGGCCAATCTACTTGTTTTCGCGCTAATGCCCGAAGATATAGACATGTGGTTTATCAACGATTTCAAATCTCACGTGTTTACCATAGTTTATAAGCATTGATATATCGTTCACTCTCAACAGTTTGATGCTAAGCGATAAATCGCATTTGACAAATCGGAATCCGTGGAAAGTTATAAGGGAAATAGGAAATGCGCGGGCGTTCCAGCATTAAATTGGATTGAGCGATCGTGATGGATACACGCTATCGCGTTGTAAGACGATTATTTTTTGCGCAAACTCTGTATAATACACACACGCAGAACAGTGTGTTCTTTCGTGCACTTACTCGTAGGTACATACGTGAAATGCACGAATGGTCAACGCATCTTCTTTGCGTACGCTTAACGTTGTATATATACAGACGTCGCGCGTGCCGCCGATTAATCAGCGGCTTTAACATTAATAATACTAGGTTATCATTAAATTATTATCGCTTATCCACTTTTATCTTGTTACAGCGATCAGTTCTCTCGCGATCTCAACGTGCGACTGGATTCGTCGATTATTCTCCTTCTTTCTCAAGGAAAAGATAAGAACAGAAACATATTCCGATGTCATTGTTACGCATACGATATATATGCGTTCTATCGCGCAAGAAACACGGTTAAACATGGTTAAACATTAACCGTAGCTTATACAAGAATCGGCCGACAACGTTCCTCATGCCTCTCGCGAATCTTGCCGCACATCGAGGAAAAATCGTGAAACTTCTACATTAGCATTTATTTGTCGTGAAACCGTGTTCTGCACGCACAACGATTTCGCATGTTAGAGTACGTCTCCGGTGTTTCACGCATTTGCGTATACGAAGGAAACTCGACGACTGCACGCGCCCGCGTGCAGTTCACTAACGCGGATTCTACTCGGGTGACGTCTCTATTACGTATTGCTAGAAATTTGTTTCGAACATGTTGGAATTTTTGGGTATTCCATGAATATAGAACACGTTCAAGCTCTTCGGGAACGCGTGATATTATCATCGTGGTGGCGCTTGAGAATCTATCTTCATCGTTACCTCACGCATTGTATACATGTTCGACCGCGTCGTTAGATCGGAGTTCGTTAGATCGCGTTCGGTATTTTGATACAATATTTGGCTCGAATCGCTTCTTTAATCTTTGGACGATTTGCAACAGTCTCAAGGGCGATTCTGCGTGATTGTCGCCATTTTTCGTTTTTCTTTGTATGGCATCGAGAAGGAGTTTTGACGTCGATGACCTCGCGAGAACTTTTATATATTTATACGGTTACAAATGTCAAATCGGACAGTCCGTTTTGCTCGAGCGACGAAAATTAGGCTGATTCGCAGCTTGCGATCTCGAGTGGTGACAGAATGTACGTCTTTGCCACAAAGTACATCCCTGACCGCCCTGTTGCCGCCCCCAGGTCACCCTCGATAGACCTCCTGCCCCACGATTGTTTGATCTTTTCTATTTCTGCGGAGGCGAATTAAAATTGCAGGTGTTATTTTTTTTGTAGATACCGCGGTTGTGTGAAAGTGATCATTTTGTCTAAAACGATTTTTAATGGCAAGGTCAGTGCCTATAAAGACTGTATCTTTGGATACGTAGATCTGCTATGAGAAATTTAAAGAATGGCGGATAAAAAGTTGTTAGCGAATGTAAGAAAAGAGAGTATCTTTTATCGAGAGTAAAATAAAGATTTTAAATACCGCCACTGTTAAAATTTCTCTAATTAGCTAGTGAATTGAATACAACACAAGAGAAGGGAAAGCCGTTCGTTGGCGCGTGGTTTTTCAAAACGCTTTTCATACACTACTTAAAGGTTTTCATCGGCTTCCGCGAGTGGAGAGAGCTTTTAAGCTTTTCGCGGATACAGTACGCTTTGACGATCACGCGCTAAAGTCATGCAGATGTATGTATGTATATGCGCGAGCTATTTTCTTGCAAATATAATGCGACTCTCTCTCTTTCTCTCCCTCTTTCTCTCTCTGCATAATCTGTTTACCGAAGTTGGCGTAACACTTCGGGAGCTGAGGTTGGAGCTCGGCAAAGTTTCGACAAAGTTTTCACACCTAAAAGGCACTGCGATCGACATTTTGTTAATTATTGTCGTTGCACCAACTTCTCGATATGGAAGAATGATTTGTTTGTGCGCAGCCATATTATGTTGATGGCCGAAAAGTTTCACCGCGTTTCCCGCGAGGATAATGAAACGAGATCCAAGTATTTACGAGATATGTCCTTACACGCCGGAAGTGTATCGAGCGACTTTAGCGTCGTCGTAACAAAACGTACTGCGTGTTAAATAAACTAAGCTGATTTAGGGCTCGTAGTTGTAATCATAGATTGAAGCTTAATTTTGTAATTCATTAAGCCGATGTACGTATGTTACGGAATGCTCTTAAACACAGCGTTTTCAAATGTAATAACAGGAAAGTGAAGCTGTTATTAATGCAACAGCAGTGAAATGTAACGCCGCGGTAACCTCATTCTGAGAAGTTTTATTACTAAAACGTGAAAACGTTATTTAATTAGACGCTAAGACATATTATAAATGGATTTCTTTGCTCGCGAGTAGCCTTTGCTATTCGATATTTTTAACGACATTTTCACCGATATATTGCCAACGATCAAAGCGTGGATCACGTAATCGAATTAAGGAACAATTTCGCAAACTATATAGACGCGCACATTATTTTATCCGCCACTTTCGCGCTCAACTCCACGTGATACCAGCTCGGCTCGATTTTCCGCTTTCCCACGCCTCGATCGCCACGCGCGGCGGAACTCGACCGTATATAAATAAGCGCTCCCAACTCATTGTTTTCGAGTAAAAATACGTACGTCTGAGACATGAGAACCTGCTCATTAAAGCGGCAGAAGCGTGTAAATCTGTTTTTCATTACTATAGAAGTTATAGAGTACACAAGTAAACGATTTGGCGAAACGTACACGTCGACCAAGCATCATCGTTACACTTTAAACGATTGTCCAAACACATCGAACCGTTGCAATATTTTAAGTACATGGGTTTCTCTTCTTTATCGTAAGTCGTTAATCAGTACCGAGACTAACTGGTCGTCTCTGGTCGAAATGTAAGAATATGACCGGTCTGGATCAATCCTAACGTTTCAACCAGGATTCTTTCGCACAGTCAACACTTTCGCGATCGTTCTCATTTTACATCGCGAAGGCGTTAAATTGTGTGTGTGTGAATCCGTTCTCCTTTCAAATACCAAATCATCAGGGCGTCCAGAGGAACGCTACTTTCCTCACGCACAGGTTCCGAATACCGTTACTACGCGCAATACGTCGCCTCCGCGATAACTGACGGCCAACGTATCCCGACCAGGCGAGGCACCTCCGAATACTGTATCCCGACGCATGGTCGTCGCGGTACTTGCCGACAGCTCTTGACGGCACGTCCGCGACATCCGGTCGACGTGTACGTCGCTTTGATGGTCGGTGGGGCAGGCGAGGTTCTCCCTAGAAAAGTAGAAAGGAAACCCGGGTGCGGCGAGCGTCCCCCTTGGCCCGTCGGGCCATCCCAAACTGTCAGACGGACGGGTCGCTGCCGGGGGCGGAGCCCGTCTTGCTGCCGTCGACGCCAACTCCGCCACCGTCGCCGTCAGCTCCCCCGCCCTCTCCGCCCCTGTACGGCGAGCCGCCGGCCCCGCGCGCCGACAGACCTCGGAAATCCAGGTTGTACTGAAAAGACGTAGGAAGACGAAAGGTTATTATATATCGTACATGAGACGCGAGCCCCCGGCGCGCGGCGGGCTCTCGCTCGCGGGGGTCACTTGGGAGATCGAAAGATATCGAGCGGAAGCTCGCCGAAAGTCCTAGGTCCTAGACCATCTGACACGAAAAATTGATGCGTGTCTCTAAGACCGAATTTCTATTCGGTTTTCCCACGAGCTTCCGATCGAAGGATAATAATGTTATCCTTCAAAGTTTTAGCATTCGAAAGTTATTAGAGATATGTTAGATATGTATATTCTCAAGAAGATGTCACGCGCGTGCTGTTGCACTGTTACGCTCTTGCCGTCATACTTGGCGAGTCTGTTTGTGATCTAGTATGTAACAAGGATCGTATACTCTGACAAAGATACAACGAATTAATTTTAATTCAATGTGACATTTTACGTGATACATATTGTAATTAATTTAGAGAATTTTTATTGCGTCGAACAATAAAAAACAATAATTTTTCTGTAAAGATGATATTTGTTTGTCAGAGTATTTGAGATTATTGCAGGAAGAAATATTAGATTTTATTACGAGATACATGGTGTAGCCATTCCTGTAAAGGTAGCTGAAAATGGATTAATTCAAATCGATTACATGATCATATCACTGGGTAGATCTGTCATGGGTATTGGTATATTGTGTTGTATCGTTAAATCGAAGCGAAATCGGTGCACACGCGAGTTATTTAAAAAGAAAGAAAAAATTAAAAAAAGAAGCTGAAAATAATGTTAATGTCAGCTATAATAAAGTCTAGAGTAAGGTAAAGAATGAGAAGCCGCGAAGTTAAAAGCTAAAAGACAATGGATTCGTCGTAATATCGATCGTAACGTTACTTTTCAATAAGTATAGCGAATGATTAGAATTAGGTAATCGCAAAAACAATCTGTCCATCTCTATGTATCCTGAAATTCATTCTGAAACTCGTGCCAAGGAAAGAGACAGTGTTGCAATCTTTCTGTCGCGATAAAAATACGTGTTATTGCGAGTACGAAATTACGACGATTCGATGTAATTAATAGCGTGATCGAAGTTCGAAATCGGGTGATTCAGAATAAAACGAAGAAGCTGAAATGAAACCAAGGTCGAACCTGTACGAAGAAAGTGTAGTGTTCTCGACGTGTGCGTGCGTGCGTGCGTGCGTGCGCGTGAAACGACAGTGTCACGTGCCACGTGCCACGTGCTACGGCACGACGTATTACACAAGGCTGCTATTATCTCGGTAGCGTTGCGTGTTTTAAGTGCTGCAGTTGTGCGTGGTGCAGCTGCAGTTGGAGAAGCTGCAGATTCTGCAGGCAGTAGGATGGCTGCTGCGTTCCGGGCGTTGTGTACGGTAAGACGGACGGATGCACGAAGGAGCCGGAATTTCGGGACAACCCAGCATTGGGGTGCCCCGGGCTGTAATTGAAGGGGAGCAGGGACAGGCTCAGGCTGGGGGGTGGTTTCAGGATACTGTGAAATTGCGCGGACGTGAGTGGATGGGGTTGCACGTAAGGGCTCGTGGAGGGCAACAATTGCGGGCTAATCGGATACAAACAATCCTCTTCGGCCTGGCCGGGCACCGTCGTCGGGCTGAGCTCCATGTATTGCGGCATGACGAGATTGTGCTAGGTGGTGAATAAGAATGGAAGGCGATAGACGTACAATCGATTTTTTTAGCCTGAACGCGTGTCTCTGCGTCTTAATTCGACTCTGGCACCTGTGCGAATACTTAAAACGCGATCTCGCAATATGAAAACATTGATTCGATAAAAATGAAAATATTTCATGCCGATGGCGATCAATGTTCCGATACAACAAACATTCGCACAGGATTGATACATTCTAAAGAGAATTTCATAATCTCTTAATTTATATTATTTCATAAATAATTTTTAATGTCATTTTTCATAATTACTTCATAAAGCTACCTGTAAATATAGAATTGGCTGAATTAGCTGACGTTTTATAAGAAACACAGTAGTAAGATATATCATGAATAAAAATATACTTGGACCGTACACAAACTTATCCAATACAGGCAACCCCTCAGTCATAGAAAAAAATCGCGCGAAAGCATGTCTTCGTTCATTTAGGAAATAGATTAATTGGGCATATCGAATATTCTCATGGCTCACCTTTGTGGCGCAGACGAAACACGTTGCGACCACCTTCGAGATCACATTCATGAGATTTTTCGTTTCTTGTATGACATTGTCGACTTTCGTAAAAGTGGCGGCCTTGCCGACGGTAGGATTCTTCACGGTGAATTGCAGTTGCTGAACGTACGTCGGCACTCGATCCAGATTTTCCAAGAGTTCTTTCTTGTGCGGCCCACCTGGTACCTGCACCCATGTAACATCGTATACAAACTTACGTTTTCGTTCGTATCGCAAGATAAACTTGTTCGCATTTAATTTTCAACGACCCACTAATGCATAAAAACATTTGGCACTAGCATTTAATTACTAATAATAATAGTAGTTTTGAAATAATAATATATTAATTAAAAAATAAAATTTTCTAAAATTAAAATTTTATGTTATATTTATTCTCGATGTATTGTATGTATGTATATCTAAAAAATATTTTTTATTCTTTAATGCTTAATTTAATAATCATTTTCATATTAAAATATTTAGGTATACACATAAGTTCGAACAAATAACTTGGAGCATTTGTTATTATATCCACTTTTAATGTTTACGATTTCATTATAAAATAAATACAGATTGACGAGTAATTATACATAGATTAACAATCGTTGAAAATTTCTGAACGCATTTATCTTACGATATTACTTCTGTTCATATTTAGCCCATTTCTTAAAGATTCTGTAAAGCAAGATGCCTGATTCTATTGTTGGTAGTTTATTAAATTACTAATAATAAATACTTTGTAGTATGTAGATACTCAGAAATTTGCATCTAAGAAGTTAACAGAAAGATCGTCTATCTGTCCTAGGAGAACACAATGCAAAACTTTCAACGGAATATAAAAAGATTTCTCGATATAGAATATCAAAGTGACTGTGTGAAGTGGCAGTGAAATAGTACAGACCTTGTTATTTTTGCAAGCTTCCTTCATATGAATTTTGTCTTTACGAGACAAAATATTATATTAATGATCAAATGTTTTCGAGAAGAAACGAATAAGTTTCAGATTTAAATTTTTCTTAAAATTTAATTTTCGATATCTGATTAATATTATGTATATTATGGCGAAATATATAATACATACATTACAATAGTATTTAATTATGTACATAGATATTTGTTAACGAATATTGTTTGATAAAACGTGCAATGATGGAAGCTAGCAAAAATTGTGAGACACAATACTCATGCCCCAGATAGTGGAAGGAGAGGGACCACAATGCACATAGACGTCGTCCATAGACGGAAGCATTCCCGTAGCATCTAAAACACACCTTACTAATCGTACACAAAAAGTCGTAAATGTATGTACATAAAATAGATTTACTAACGAACGAAATCATGAACGTTCATTATGACAGTTTAAATGGCATGACACGCGGACGCGAAACGTACTCTAATTTTCAAAACAATTAAATCGTATCCCGAGAATCCCAGTACAAACAGAAAGTTTAAAATTTAACGCGAGTTTTTGAATATTAATTACATTTGGACATGATTTTTATATGAGCATAATGAATCGTCACATCAGTTTATGATGACAAATAGCTCTTTCTTAAATGTTAATTGTAATTGTTTCCAATATCTTCATACTTGTTGACATTTTATATAATTCTCTATGCTATTCGTAACGATCAATAGGAAAGTCTACGTGCGTGATATGTTGCATAGCAAAATACGTATACAAACATAGTTATGTACAAATGTAATGACAACATTCAACAACAGTAGAACATTGACGTCGCAAAGAGAGAAAGAGAGAGAGAGAGAGTGATTTGTTAAGGCGAAAGTGATATCTATTAGTTGAAAAGGATCTAAAGTAAAGAGAGAAAAAGTTACCTGGATGGAGGCATTCAAGAGCGAGGGTATAAAAAGGATTGTATATAATACAGAATATATTACAAGGTTAGCGCGTCTTGTTGTTTCTCTTAAGAAGAGTATAAAGAGAGACCAAAGTGGTTTCAGGTGACTATATATATTCGGCCTAGCTAGGAGGGGTTCGAAATAGGGTAGCAAACGTGTTAATTCGAACATGTCTAATGCTAATAACGCATGTCGAAGCTACTTCTGGTCTGGAAGCTACGTTTATAGTAGCATAAAATAATAACAAGATAGTATAAAGCTTTCACACATACACGTGATATTTTCTATTTTTACATCTGTTGAAATATTCTAATTTTTTAATTTTGTCATCTCTCTATCTACTGGAAGAGTTACGATACATAGTATCGATTTCGATATTTCACCTTCGTGTTTCTCGAAGTAATCAGAACGTAAGCTTTATAATAAAATTCAACTAAAATTAAGTAGTATATATCAACATACCGATGTATATATCTACTTTGAACGTATCGTAATATAAAACATATGCGAATATTTCTATATTTCTACGATGAATAGTCTCTTATTGAGCATTGAAATAGTAACGATTATTGTTAGCATCTACCAATGAATATTTGATAATAATAGCGTGAATTAAAATATGAGTAAATTTTTCATGCAGACTCGATGCAGCTTCGACGTTGCGACTTACGAAGAAACGAAACTCAATAGCGTAATGTATAAGTAAGAAGATTTTCAATATAGCGAGGATTAAGAAACGCGGAATCAAGTCCAATATAGAGTCCGTATAATAAACAATGGTAAAAGAATGATCATAGAAGTAAGGGTGATATATAGATATATCAACATCAGTCCAATTAAAAAAACATGTGTCATCTCTTTTTTGATCTACGTCGGCGTGTTAGCCGGCCGCCACGTACCTGGTAACTGAATTGTCTCACAACTTTGTACAATCTGTTTGCCTCCTCGGCGAAATACTCAGCTTGGGTGAACAGGTCCTGGGTAGTTTTCAGGGCCCCTTCGCCTCGCGTGAATTGGTACATCGAGAATGCCATCGATGACATGTTCTTCGCCCGCTTCACAATGTCGTTGTTCTCTTCCAGAGCGCTTCCGCTCTCCTGCCATTTTTCCGTCTCGGCATCCATCTCCGAAGTGATCAACTTCATCTCGAGACCCGCTTTGGCGATCTTCGCTTGCTCCTCGCTGTCCAACCGCACTGGCTTTAGTGGCTTGCTCGTCGTGCCGTGTTTCTGAAATGAATCATACTATTTATTTCTCACTCATTATATCTGACGAGAAACAACTCAAATAGCGACGTTTTCTTTTTTTTTTTTAATTAGGAAAAATATATATATAATATATAGAATCCATTGATCGTTTGTGGAAATGATTGTTTATGCGTACCCCTGGCCGCGGCAAAGACATGTAAACCTGCTTCTCTGGCCGGTTTTGACTGAGTTCCAAAACATCTTTCGCTACTGTCGTCACGTCAGTCATGAGCCATTGCCACATGTCAGCAAATACTGTAAAACATACAAAAACGTTAAATGACGTAGCAAATATCGTTGTTACAACATCAGTGGATTATTTAAGTATTTATATGGCTTACCTTCGAGATTTTCTTTAGCTATCTTACTGGTGGGATGCCTAGCTAGCGTGTGCGCGGCCGTTACGACCTGAGGACCATATATTCTTAAGTTGATCTCCGTGAACTTGGCCGACACTTGCAACGATTCCGAAAGTGCAACGTGTCTTAGAAGTTTGCATACCTAGAAGAAAGAATACGTTGCAATAAGAATTGTATAACAAAAAATTTTATTTGTAAACTATCGATAAAGAATTAATCGTGTATTCTAATCTTTGTGTATAATCGTATTGGTAAAATCATTTCAAAGTCACGAAGATCTATTATTATTAACATCGGACATTAGTAATAAATTAGTATTGACGTACTAATTCACTTAAAGTTAGGCGTGGAATAAATCCAGTTAGGAGCTGTAACTGATTATAATCTAGAAATGATGAATGGCAATCACTGCGTACTATGTCTATTGTCCAGTAAATCACTATGTATATTTTAGAATCACTCGATGCAAAATTAAGGCATGCGCATTTTTAGCGTGAGAATCACGTCGTAAGTCGATAATATTTCTCGAAAAGACTCCGTTATTTGTGGGCTTTGAGCTTAGAATGCACGTGGGGACACGAACGCGGGTCGCGGACACGCGGTGCGTGGGCCATGTCTGGGAGCTTACTTCGAGAATGTGTTCGATATACTCGTGGAACCTGTCGCTGCTCTCCTGCAGACGGTCGATGTCATTGGCCAACGCGAGATTTCTGATCGTTGACACGAGTTCCTGGCCGGCTTTTGTCACTTGGCCAAGATCGCCGGCCTGTTCCATCGTCGTCGAGCTGAGTTGCTGGCGAAGATCTCTGGTCGCCCGTAACACACCCATTACCGCTTGTTCCATTTCTGAGCTAGGTGAACCCCCGCCGCCCTCGTAATTCTGACGGAACACGATGCCCATTATTTTATATTTTATCGCTGTTTAATTTATTAGGAAATATTTTTCATTCGGGGATCGCGCTATTTGAAATATATTCCGTCATTTTTATCCAACGAATAGAATTTATTGCAAACTACGTTCTTTGACTTAATTTCTTTTGGTAAGTAAGTTACGTACTTACGTAGTATTAAAAATTATATTATATGTTTTAATTTTACATTTCAAGTCTTATTACAATCAGTAGTGTTAGACTTTTCTGCGCATTCCTACACGAGCATTATTAAATAACATTTAGTCGCGCATTTTCTTGTAAAATAGAGCAAAAACTCTATTAACTCACCATACTATTGCCGATCCGCAAGAGTGTATTGAGCTCGAGTTTCGCGCGATCGCAAAGCAGAAGGATATTTTCTCTGTGCTCGTGACTCGTATAAGCGCTGTCGGTGAAGTCTTGCGTTCTCTCGACCACTGTCTCGAGCGCCGATGTAAGTGTTTCGCGACAGCCCGGTCCCAGTAGGGTCATCCTCGTTGTTTCGACGAGCCTTTCGAAGTGTTTCAAAGCTGAGCAAACGGTACTACTATCCCAGTCTTCCTGCTGCGGACTCTGCAAGTAACGGCAAACGTAAAAGAAATATCTTTTTCGTACAGCGACGTCCTTCCCTCATGCAAAAGAGCCTTCTTCATTATTTCAACATTTAAAAATAGTTATATATAACGAACGAGTCCGGATACTTTCGCATAACCACATTTTATAATGTTTGAAAACACCGATGACATAGAGATGAATATTAGACACGATACAAATATTAAATCTTTTAGAGAGATGCCACGCTCGGAAGCGTTCCACTTGATCAGGTTGTCTACAATCACTCCAAAATCGATTATGTCGCGCAGAAAGTGGGTAGTACTTAAGTGTAAAATACAAGGATATATATATATATATATGTATTTTTCTAGTACGGTTAAAGGTCGTTCAGCGTGACCCAACTCTCCGGCGCGCGGCGCGACGTTGTTTCTTCAAAGACTCGAGAGGTTTTCGGAAGCGCCGACAGTACATACACGTAAAATATTCCTCATTTATCTCACGCTAAAAAAAATCTGGCACGGAAAGCACCACGCGCGTCAAAGTGCCGATATGTAAATGCGAGTGCACAATTTGGCACGATGCAAATAATCATTCGCAATCTTTATGATATGACGTGTCGTTTATGGCACGACGATTACGATTTCGCTTCCGCGATAAAAACTTCTCATCGTTGGTTTTGGATGACGGTTGGAGTTTTTATAAACTCTCGTTATGAAATTGCGATATTCGCCAGCAATTTAATTTCTAATTTTTATCTATTTAATTTTAGGACATACGTTGAGGTGTGTGAGGTGATTTATGATTCACGATTTTTTAAGCTATTTTTTAGTGATATCACTGTACACACGTGTATGTAATATTTTCGGCATAATACATTTCTTTTAATTCCACGAGTGAAATCTGTAATTTTATTTATCGTTACGTTAGTTTCTCTACTTTCTATCGCGTTATTCGCTTCCACGTTCTCGTTATTTAAGTTTTCTTTCACGATGTCCCGGGCGCATATCTTCTATTTTTCCAGGACACCATTATTTATGGTTTCTCGAGTCGGACTGGGATCGCGCGCGTTTCGATATCTCGTTTACAACTTCTACAGCAGGCTCAAGGTCGTTTAAATCGCATATTAGAGAGCACGGCAATCTAATTACGTGTATGCTCGGGGTATGGTATGGACCCTCCCGGTCTTTTTTGCGCAAGAGCAACCTCTTTCAGCCGTCCATTAACGCGCTGCTCGCCCAGTGGCAGTTAAAGCAATCCTTATGCATGGAAGAATGTACTATTAACGAACTTTGCTAATTTATTTTTTGCCCGGCAGGATATTCACGTATTTATAATCTTATATATAAAATGTCGGCATCAAGTTAGGTTTCGCAAGCTCCAGTTGAACGTTCAGTCCAGGCCCATTATTGATTTAACGTGCGGATTACGTTTTATAATGATAAAGTTATACGTTTGAAAGAGATACTGGCAATATTGAAATACTTCTAATAAAAAATCTTATAAAGATATAAGACTGCTTTCCATGCTTTATATGTTAACAGATATTAATTTAAAAAGCACACTTTTTTTTGATAAATCAAATATTAATCGATTCTCATTGTAAAACACATTATAAAATATGTGCAGATATGAAATATCCTATTTAGTGTACAATACTTAAAAAGCGTAGTGTGATTACGTATCGTTTATTAATAGTTAACCCTTCGCAGAACGTGTCTACGTTTGCTGCTTCCGTCGAACATGTGGGTCTTATAGGCCAGTTAAGATTTTCAAGCTGTATAATAGTGCCATAAAAAATCGGAAAAACGTCAAGTATACTTTTGAAGGCTTTAAGAATTTATTTATACCGTTTTATACATGCCTCTGATTTTTGTTTGAGTTTTTTTTATGAGTCCGTAGTCTCCGAAAAATTCAAAACTGAAATATCGACCGGGTCTTTAAAGCTCCACTTGTTCTGCGAAGGGTTAATTGAACGTATGAGAAATAAAATATTCGACGTACGTACACTCTACAGGCAGGAATGCCTGGACATAATACATATACATATACATATACCTGTATGTAGGTACATATATGTCATATACATATAAAAATGTCCAGGCATTCCTGCCGGTCAGTGTACGTCTATTTTATAACGTTTTGAGCTTGAGCAGAAGAAGTAGGTTGGCACGCGGCCTTGGCGTTTTTTTTTACAGCGCGCTTGTTTACATTCGCGCGACGAGACACGAGACTCGAGCCGGTAGGGGCTCGATTTTAATTCTATGGGCTCGCATTTAATTCTATGCTTGACTCTAATAATTACTTATCAAACGACGCAAGCTCTTTTTGGAACGTTTTCAAAGTTTTCGGGAACATTTTATCATATACGGCTTTTTCTTTCTGATTCTTACAATATGTACTATGCGTTCTCGCTGCATGATAATAATGGGTGTATAAATGCTTTATGGAAAGTCAACGTAGAATATTTGTGAATCGCGATTATTACAAGCGTTTCTTGGCAAGCTTTAATATGAGAATATTTGCGTCGGTAATTATTTTTTTCTCATTATTTTTATATTAATTCTTCACGTGTTCGCTATTTTGTGTTGTTCTGTAAATTGATATCGCGAATAGATAAATATCGAACTAATATCTCGTAATTTTATAAAATATTTGGTTACTCTCTTAGTTTTATTAAATTTTATTAATATTAACACGACGTCCAATGAAAAATATTTTCATCGTCCGTAAGCGTGTATAAAGAATCGAAACGAACAGCTTGACTGCTTACCTGTGAATTCGAGTAGGACTGAGATTCGCTGCAGTCTAATACTCCATCCTTGACAACGTAATGTATCAGATCCATCGCTCTTCTCATTTGGCAAAAAACGGTGTCTCTGTTCTCCTTAGCGGATGGACATTCAGGATGCCTTAGACATGTCTTGCTAGACGTGAGTAGCATCATGGTGCTCCTCTCTAACACTTGTCGAGCCGCTGCCATCTGCGCGCGTCGCCTCTCATCTTTGAGATCATTCTGAAAATGACATGTAACGTTTAATCGAGTCACGGTTGTATTACGGAAGTTAGTACGAAACTCATGAATGAAATATCGCGTAGCAAGAAGGAAATCTCACCTGACGATCACCCGTTAAATGCGCCAACTCGACCATCTCTCCTCCAAATTGGCTGAACGCCTTGACGAATTCCGTGAAATTCGAGACACTTTCGAGGCGCCCGAGACTGCGGGCGACCTTATCCTTGGCGTGAAGCACGTGATTGACCACGACGATGTCTGCCAGGAGGAGGACTTTTGTCACTGAGCCTAGGAGACATCTGGCAGCTCTTACGACGGAGCCTCGGTCAGCCAAGCTGTCTTCCAAGGCACATTCGCATAATTTCTCGATTGCTGAGCCTAAATGTAACATAATCGATTGTCAGATTGCATTTTTTAATTTCCATTTCATACATATCTGCAGAAATTAAAATATATGTAAAATAATAATCTCTTCTATATATTAATTCCACGGCAAAGTTTAATTTTTGAAAGAGAGATCGATTGGACTACGTTCGAGCGAGTGTGACGGAACAAGGAATACTGATGAATTAAACATCTCGCCTTTTTATCGTGTGTCACCGTAAAATTGGAGTAACTGATTTAATTATGACTGAGCCCCTTGACTTAAGTGCGACGGCTACTCTTGAACGTAATTGGGTGCTCTTGAACGATCGTACGTAGTTACTTTGCACATTCGCTACGTTAACTTAAGCTTATCGTTAAGTTATAGGAAAACTTGGATAGCCAATATGCAGCACTGTTAATTATTTTTATTTATTTGAAATCTCCATTATCGGAATTTTTAAATTTAATATTTTTTAAACGAGTGCATAATGTTCATAATATTAAAAGAGTCAGAATTAAATTGAAAAGAGTAATTAATATTAATTAGTACATAATTTATTGATAATGATATAAAATCGTTCACAGCGTCCTTTCTAGCAATATGATATATTGTCAGAAATCAATATATAAATTTACATTAAGGAACTTTTTCCAAGTTGCACTTGTGCATAACGTTTTCTAATAATATCATCATCGATCGGAAAGACTTGGAGTGTGGGACGTAAGGGTAGCTGTATCATTAAATAATTATTTTCGGAATTAGAGAGCCGTAGTTAACGCGAAACACACGATCGCTACTGGCTATTAGGCTATTATCTTGTATTAATTGTTCATCGCCATTAGGAGCTCGCGAAATTCTAAAGGTAAACTGCTCTAGGGAGAATCGATGAGAGAACACGTGATTATAACCAGTATACTATTTGTTCCTTTATATCAGGTACGTACGAGAAAACGCGGGGATTAGGTGTTGAGTAGAATAGATAAAATTTATCTGTGTCTACAAATTCCCTGTAGCAATGTTCTATCGTTCATGTCGCATGCTTTCCGTTAAATCCTATTCATCACGTTACTTCTCCGAACGGTTCTTCATCAACTTAATGTTTATAAACGTTTCTCATAGGTTACTGCAAATTATCTCTGTTGATACCTCAGCAGAGCTCGTTCAGAGCTAATTTACTTGATATTGTATCATGGATACTTTTCTTATTGTTTAACGAGAGACTAGCACCGCTTCATTCTTTTTCATTTCAACAGTGCGAACTGAATATTCAATGCAATGACTAGTGATATCACAATGTTCTCTTTTTATATGCTATATTCTTTTAGAAGGCAAATCGCTCATATCGTCCTATCGAGCTGATTAGTGTAGCGATGCCAGCATGTAAGATCAGTCGGTTCGATATGGAATCCTTATAGCGTTTTATATAGACTAACTGTTACGTAAGTACGCAGAGAACTTGACCTAATTTAAAAATCAAAGTGCATTGATTTCATACGATTTCACGTAACCTATATGTTCCGATGAGATTATTATTCCGATAAGTTGATTGTTTTCTACGTATTTATCAGCAAAATTATAAGCAATTTAGAGCCAATGATTCTATATTATCTGTATTTCACAAAGCATGAAAGAAACACATGTCAATGGATAAAAACTATTTTTCTTTTTTTAATTTAACATTTTACTTAATTACTACAAAATTAATTTTACGAAAAAGAAATAATAATAAACGGTTGATGTAATATGTAGACAAACTATTTTATTAATAGAATTGCCTGCCCCTAATTTCGATCTTTAGTGAAATATTTTTGAGCGCAACGAAGTAAATAGAGCACACACGTCAGTTATCTCGATATTGGTATCGCGATGCATCCACTGGAGGATGTATTGGGGTGGATTGCAATTGGAGAGATTGCTCGGATGCGACGCGCAGAAGCATGTCCTAGGAGTGCGCTTTTCACGATTCATTCACGGGGCAAAATACATCGGATCGGGATAAGCACGTCAAACTTGAGATTGACATTTACGCTTTTATTTCTTACTCACGAACAAAAAAAAACTGTATTTTTTGTTTGATTTATTACGATACGAACATGTGAGGAAATCAAATTATTGTTATGAAATACGGTCCGTGAATTTTGAACGAACTAAGTTTTCCGAGATGCGTATCAATCGCTTAATTGCTACCCCTGTAACTTTCTACTGGCACGCGATAATGTTGAAAGAACAATTATGCGTTGCTTTAGTTCGCGTGATAAGGAGAGCTCCAGTCACACACATATAAGCGAATACATTGTTTTGATGATAACGTGTAACTGTAATTATATATAATGCTGTGATTTATTTCTGGATTTGATTATGGATATGATATCCATATTACGTGGCATTTCAGATTCTCTGATTTCTTCTTAATATATAGCAATCTTGCAGTAATTAACCGAATAAAATCTAAATTTAAAAAAGAGAAATGGTTTTTGTGCTTGTTCAAGCTCGGGAGCTTCGAGCTTCCTATCTCACGAAGTGCTGAAAAAGTTTTTATATATTTTATTGATATTTTTATTACTCTAAATTTTAGTCTATTTTGTGAATGTAACATGTATTTGCACAAGTAATCGATTTGGTGTTGTTTATTTTGCATGCGAAAAGTATCTTTAGGAAAGTTGTTCCAACATTATCAAGAGAGCATTACTCTCTTTATACATAATATGGCTTTGCAATTGTGCAAGCGTGAAACGGTACGAGTGGTTTTGCGTTCACATCATCAGTGAATACCATTAAATTGTCGAAGTAAATAGCGTGGAACGACGTTTTATGATAACTATGATAACGCGAGTTTACAAACGATCAATGACGATGAATGTGACTAATGAATCACTAACTTTACTCGTTAGCGGAACGTTTATCCGCGTTTACCATCAGTCCGCGTTGCTAAATCGTTCCGATATTTACATTTACATTACGCTTCTTCGTTAATAGTATCTCACTTTATTTATACAATACAGACGATTTTCGTTTATACAGTTTTTTATGTCAGTTTGCGCAGTGTAATCTAATTTGTTATTTCTTTCATCGGTTTTTTCGATGGCCCTATCTGAACGGGACTTTTTACTGTTTGTTATTATAAAGTACGCCGAGTGAATTTATATCGCGTTTTTCCCAAGTGACACGTCATGATAAAAATCGCTCTCTTGTGTCCGTATACGCTGCAAGCTGAAAACTTTTTGTTATTCGGTTAGTTCCGTCATAAAAATGGATTCATCACCGTTATGTTGGGGAAATGTCGGTTTATTTGCGCGAAGAAAATTGTGGTAGAATCGTCGGCGTTTGATTTCAAAAGTACCAACGATCGTAGTATCAACTTGATTGATCTGTCGAGAGTTATTTTGTACATTATACTGATTCGATTGTAAAAAATATCAAGACAAAGATAAATCGGTAATATTTATGCAAAGATACATTTATCTTTGTTTATTATTAAAATCAATCGACTATTATTTGACGTCGATTAATATAATCGTGTACAAACGAAATCGGAACTATAAAATTCCCAGCGTGTCTCGATATTACCTGATATTTTCCCACTTCATTAACAGCGCCGACGTATTCCTTCGATTTCACCCCGATGTTCGATGTTTCAATTCTCGGACAATTTATTTTCGCCCTGCGCGCCATGATATTTCCAGCCTCTATATTTGCATGTAACCGTTTTATTGCCAATTATCTCGAATTCGTTCTCTACTTTTGCATTCGTTTCTCGTACATCGTGATTCCGATTGATCATCTCGGTGACCATTTCGCCGCAACGGCGACATGGGACAGAGAAGCTAATAAAGAACAAATGAACAACTATATGTATATTGCATACTTTCAATTTGATATTACGTGCTGCATATTAACGTACCATGAAATGTACAACGGTATCTTCGTAATTCTTTAGTAATTATCACCCGGCTTGAAACGGATGCTGGATATTAAGCGCACAACGTTTGCACTTCCGCATCACTTTGCTTAAGCGCACTCGTTGTCAGTTGGCAGTGATTACAGTTTGCTTGTGTTTGTAATTAGATAGGTGCGACTATTCCTCAGCGTTGCTTTGCCCTTACCATATGCTGTTTCCCCTGGTGATATATAAATTTGGCATGTCGCCACTTATCTTCTACGGTGGTCGCTTTTTGTTATAATAATGTGTTTTGCTCTCTGTAGCCGCGCGCCATTCTGGTGCACGAGTTTAAATTCCGCGAAGCATCGAAAATAGCGTTATCTTAGGAAAGGCAGCATAACCAACTGTTTAAGCATTCCGCGCAATATCTTGCTTCTTTCATTCGATTTCGATTTCGATTGGCATGCCGCAAACGTATGCGATCTGTTACCTATAGTTGCTACTTAAAATTCTATTTTGTATCTGACAAAGATACAAAGATTTTTAACTTGCTATTTTGAGAAATGACCATTTTCGTGATAATAATGGTAGCTCAACCTAAACGCTAAACATACATACGAAGAGTGATCTGTATGCAAAAACCTCTGACAGTTTATACAAATTTGTCGCGTGTTGTGTCATAGTGAATCCCGCAGGCACGATAGCGTTCGCAATTCCACGGTTAGTTACACTTACAGTGCACCGATTTACACGCGATACCACGCGAAACGATTTGTTCAAGCCAGCAGGTAGTAAGCTTGCATGTCTTCGTACGATCGCTGTAATATCGCGGCTCTTTCGACGTTATTTCATTACTTCGAATTGATACGTCTCGCATGCTCCGATAAAATATTCTATTGTACATAATCTAGTAATCGAATTTTCCATCTTATCTATTATCAAGAATTTTTTATCGACACTCTAAAACTCTAAATTCGTCATCAACACGCCGTTTTTCATTGTACAGAATCCTGTTTGATTTCGGTTGTTGTGACGAAAGCTCGGTTTATTATTTATATTGTATTAATTGTCTTTTTTTATCGACATTTTCTCGAATTGTAGAGCATTCTTTAGTTGAATCTACGTCGAGTATTATTGGTCTTGTCAGTGCGAAAGCTTTCCTCAAGATCTTCAATTTCGTGGCGCGGTACTTTTCACGTTGAAGTCTACCGAGACCGTTTCTTTTCTCTATAGTACAATTCTCCCCGAAGAGCGAACAGGTGTGCTGGAAAGAAATATCCGCGGTCCTTACTTCGGCCGTTATTTCTTCGCTATTTGGCAAAGATACGTCGGGGCTCTTCTTATGTATATGTATAGGTATACGTATTATAGGTGGCAAAAAACCGTTCAAGATTTGGTGAAACTAGGTCATCGCACGCGCTGTTTCTACATGGTAGCAGCAGTAAGATTTGTCGTTCTGCAATGTGCAGCCTAGCGTGAAGATACGAAAAGATATAATCTGCCAACGATAAGACTTTGGAGAGTGACGTTCAAAGGTTACGAGCCTTATCCTAGCTCGCGTTGAGGATAAGGCCTCCTTCTTCCGGTTTGCGTGCTCTTGTCAGCGCAAGGTTGCGTATGAGAGATGCAATTTGTATCTTTTCGATGTTTAACGTTGGCGTTCAAATCCGAGCGATTTGCTTGCGTTAGATTAAATGTAGAAAGATATCTGTTATATAGATTTTTAATTACATGAATTAACTAAACGCGTTGATAAGAAAGAATTTGTAAGAAATAATCGCGCTTTCTTTTAATTCTTGTCGCGATCGCGTTATTTATAATGCACGGAACAGCACGGAGCGGCATTATACCTGCCGATTAGAATTTCGTCGCGCACATGATATTTCGCGCTATTCAGAATAGGCGTTGATAACAAAAGGAATGAATCTCACAAGTTATTTCATTTCGTCGCGATATTTACGGGTGACGATTGTTTTTTTAACGGTCGGATTTGAATATATTTTTGCTCTCACTCTTTCCATCAACGCTAAAACAATTTGTCCGGTAATTCCACGATTTACAATAACACCATTTTTACATGAATGTATGATACTAAAATGTTCGGTAGTTGTGTGAAATATTTAAAAACCCGTAATGTCATACGTGTTTCTATCTATCTTTGTTTCTCTTTTCTTTTTTCGCTTTTCTTAAAAAGCGAATAGACTATAAGATACTAAACTACATGCTAAAAAGAATAAGTATTGGTCATTCCGTGCGTAACGCGAATCGTAAAATCGCGTTGGAGTAATTCGCGATGCGTTCTTTTAAATCTTCGCGAATCAGATTCTTATGACCTATTTGACGAATAGTTCGTATTCGAAGATCTTGAAGCTTACGACTTAGAATGTTAAAAAACAAAAAATGGTTGTATGTTCTACTATTCTATTTTATTATTTTTCTATTTATTCTGAGGATAAGACATTCTTGTAAATAACGCTATAGGATTTTGCAACGCGATAAGATTTTATATTCATGAGCGGCTTTATCGTCCGATTGCGAGTTTATCTGAAGTAATATAATTATTCCAAACATTGGAATAGTGAAATATCTATCTGCTTGAGATAATATTCGCGGAAAAGAAACTGGTGCAAGTATAATGCAAATTGTTCTTGAGAAGAAGATAATCTCAAAGGAGAATATTCAAAGTTTTTAATAAAACATAATCTGGATGAAAGTATTAAAACACTTCAAATTATATCATTGTAATAAAATTTATCAAGATGGAATTTTTGTTATAATATTGCTTGCTTGTGTATGTGTTTATTTTCAAATTTAATAAGCGTTATATTTTTGCATATTTTCTTGAACAATTATTATTGTAGTAAAGTACATTGCGCGTTAAAAATAAAATAAAATCTGAATTTTCTTTTTATACTGCACAATTTTGCGAATTTTTGCATTGTATTGTTCTTTTACTAGATAATACTGCACTATTCTAAAGTTGCTTACATAATCTCCAACAGATGCACGATGTTGGCGTACAAAATACCCAAGTTTTAATACGAATTTACTCTGTAATGTGCAATTGGATATTTGTATTATTCTAACTTTTGATTAATGTACTATTGTAATATTCGCAAGAACATTTGCATTGAATTTGCGTTTATATCGTACTGCATAATTTTCACCTATAAAATTTGTACGTTAGTTTGTTCTATAATGGAATTCACAGTATCACTTTTCTTTACTTTGAATGAAATGTGAGAAATATTGACATTGTTGCAATATATTTTGTTACGAATGGAAATCTTTCGACAGAGTATAACCAATTCGAATGTTATATAGCGTATTCAATATTCACTAATTTATTAAGTATGTATAGAAACGATTAAGTAGTAGAATCTTGTTATAAATCTTTAGGTTGCGAAGGGACTCTAATGATTTATGAAGGGTTTATTGTATTTTAATTTTATCAGGTTAGCTTGTGTAAAGTTATTCTGGTTTTTTCTGTTTATAGGTATACCATTTATTTACTATCAGTTTCGTGCCCATTATTACAATTATAAGTATATTACACTTACCCGCAACTCTCGCTTCCTTGCACGCCTCGTACATGTCTTGTTTGATCTCCGGGTTGTCGTCTGCGATAGTTTCGCCAACGGTCACGAATCTCTCGACCGCCAAATTTACCGCCTGGCCGACTCTGGCGACCGCTCGCAAACTCCGGTCCGAGCATAGCGGTCGTTCTCTATGTGAGATTAACGTGGAAATCTGTAAAGATATTGCATTTTGATGAGTGCACAAAATTAAGTCGGAAAAACATCTATGTGTGTGAAATTCCATTTTAAAACTTCGATATAATTGATAAAGAGTTTAGATTTTTCCTCAAAGGGTTCTGAATTCATATTTATTAAACCTGATTAAACCGCATTTTGTTGCCATAATAATAAATACCAAGATTGCGTACCATAAAACTTATCTCTTCGAAATATTTTATGTTTTATAAGATAAAATAAGACGTTGTGAATATATGTATACCTACATGAATAAAAATTATAAATGAAAATGGAGTGAGTCAAATTCGCATTTAATGCAAAAAGGATCGAATGTTCGTAGATACAAATTAGTCTATCTCGAGCTGCCGGTGCCATGTATTCCTCGTTTTAATTAACGTCGTCGTCGTCTCGTCTAATCCAGAGCGATTTCAAAAGCAAGTTCGTCCGTATACCGCTAATGGCATATTACACATTTGTTTCAGTCGTACATGACTAGCGACCGCGGTGACGCGCTGCTCGCGTTGCGCGCAGAATTGCGTCATAGTTTGTGCATGGTGGCTTCATAAAACTACGTAACGTGCCTCGAGCATTCGCGAACTGTAGCGGCTACACTGCATTTTCCACACAATTAGATGATGCATTCGTGCGCGGCGCCCGCGCCGCGCCGTCCCTCTCAGAAATATCTACCTCGGTCGAAGGAGGAAAAAGCAATACGGGTTGTAATGTACGTAACATGGAGCGAAGGGACGAACTCGCGGACTATTGTTCTGAGAGATGAATGCGTGCAGACATGCATACGCGCACACATACATATATACAGAGTTGCACGCATGTAAACGATTCCATTCATTCCGATTCGATCGTCTTATGTAAATGAGAGAAATATATGTGTTGCGACGACATAGCTTCGTTGCGTGTTGATTCACATGCATGCGCGGGAGCGTGAATGGCTACGTGGGATAAAACTATATTTTGCTGCCTTATTATCTAACGTTTGTAATGCATGGCGTCAAAATTTGTCTGTAACAATATCGATTCACTGCTATTTTTTTTCTCTTACATCGATAATCATCTGATATAAGTGAAAAAGCAAACGTTTTCGGTGGCACTCATAAATTATACGGTTGTTTAAAGATTGTATTCTGCTTCCGTTTGTACGAAAAATTAGTAATATTGCAATACAGTACTTTGGTCAGAAAATTGATAGGCATACAATTATGTATTTTATTCGATCACTGTGTGATATTATTTATCCGAAATCTGCAAATATTTTTCTATGCACAATGGACGTTTGAATGTTTGTATTTGTCCTTCGTGCAGTTGATACAAAACGTCAGGTCAATTTAAAAAAAAAAAAAAAACATTGTGTTTTTACTATGCGATATATATACATCTCGTACGATTTGCTGTTATTTGAATGTTCTTTAAAATGCGAAGAAACTGTAGAAATTTTATTTTGCAATACGTCTATTACTGCAATTAATTTAAATATTTAATGTCCCTGGGCAAAAATTTATTTTTATGATTTTCATATTTATTGAAGCATCAATATCATTCTTATAAATATAACATTACAGCATTACAGATAGGAGGGGGGGGGGAGAGAGAGAGAGAGAGAGAGAATGTGCATTTACAGGATGTCTTACTTTTTACCGCATTATATATTTTAATAACGCGTTTGTCGTTAGCAGGAATTAGTAACGAAGGCCGCCGCTCGCGAGTATCTCATGCAAAGTTCAATATAACTTTGCATAATTTCCGTCGACCGGAACTCCATTTTTCACGAAATTCCAACGGATTTCCTCGAGCGAAGCGCGAGTAACCGACGAATAATTGAAATACTACCTATCTTCTCGTAGGAAAATCGGTCGCCTTGTATGAAAATTCCCGAAAGTCCATGAATTTATGTGTTCGTCGACACGGTATTTTATTTTTTTAAGATTATATAAATTATTACGCTTAAGCCGATGATATTTTTTTTATCTCTCGCTCCCTGCATTTGGTATTAACAATAATGAGGATGAAGTCCCTGGCGCGGTTATTGATGGCGATATCGATCCGAGTGCTATCGACAATACCGTTAATCGCTTTCATGTGCGAGATTCATCTCTCGGCTTACGTAGCTATTCGCGGAATTTTCGATATCACCGGGTGAATATTTAGCTCGCGAGATATCATCAATCAATTCCGATGTCGCATCGCGGTAGCGAAGCGTTTCCTGACGCATCTTCCATCCTTCGTGACACTGTACCGAGAGCTCGCAACTGTAACTTATGTTCCGTAACGGGGGCGGTTTGTAAATTTATCGCTCTAATACGCGACGACCATACGTGACATTATGACGTGCGGAAATAACTTACTCTGTGACTGCGGTCTCACACATAATCAGGATGTTATTAACGCATAATCACGTGTCGTCTATTTGTGAAAAATTCGATGAGGAATAATAACATCTTTACTAGTCATGGTAGACTACAAGAAAACAATATCTATATTTTAACAAAATATTTATTTTTTTACTGCTATTGCCAGTTATTACGGAAAAGAATACACAATCCAAATTATTTCTCTTGTTATATTTTGTATTCTGTTAAAAGCTTCTGTATATACATAGGTATATCAAATGTCGATATCCTGTCCCGATGTAGAAATTTTATTTGTGCTATCATGATAATCCAATAAATAACGCTAAGCAATTCCCACGTGTTCATTAACACTGCAGTGTGACGTATAACCGGAATTATGAAATTATTCATAAACGACTGGCATATTACGCTCGGCATTGCGCATTTTTAATTTAAATAATCGTTAAGCGCAATAATGCATAGTTCATATTAACAATCCCGATAGAGAAAATAATTGTGGATATGTTAATAGTTGATGTTTAGGGAAAGCCTTAGCTTATATTTGTAATTTTACTTGGTGCATTGCTTACTTGAAGTAGACGAATTTTTGTTTGTGATCGATCTCTTTACTTTGTTATGTCTTTTATTTACGAAATAGGTATTGGAGCTTTGCGAATACGAATGCGGTAATGCCGCTACTATATAATATGGCGAGAGCGATGAGCCGCCACCTGCTGTGACTTGAGCAGGTAGCAGCATATCGCTTCGTTTAGCAGGGATGGGCATCTCTATATAAGTCACCGAGAATACTTTAAATAATTAACTCGGAAGCGTTGACGAGCGGAATTTTTCGAGGTCGTATTATATTTAAAACCTAATGTTTTATTTTTTACTTCTTTATGAAAGATCCGTCAATTTAAGATTAATTCATTACTAATTGTAAGATAAAAAAAGTACAATATACATGAGCAATAGTATTTGCAAGTTTTTTCTTTTACTCAGAAAAACATTTGGGTAATCCATAAAGAATAACATCCGACCTGAACGAATGTGCCGCATAAAAGAGCAGGAATCGCGGGAATGAGATTTGATGAGTAGATTTGACTTATTTTAAGACTTAAGTATAATTTTATAAATTATCTTTACTTTTTCTTTGCGAAAACTCCCTGAAAAGAAGAAGAAGGTCAGCCGTGTTAATCAGGGGATTTAAAATTCTCATCATGGACACTTGAATTAAAGTTTTGTTATCTCGTCTCAACTCATTATCTTTTTACTATACTTGTCTTTATACTTTCGACTATTTTTCTTTTCTCCTTCGAAAAGAGAATAGCATACATGCGATTACTCACTTGCGGCGCGCGGCGTATATAGTTACTAAGTCTCTCCGCACCTTTATAAAAGATGTATGAGCTTTCACTCCGTCTACGGTCGTCTTTCTTAGAGTTTTCTCATTTCACCATTTCTTTCTTAGCTCACGTCGTCCACGCAGGATACGATTTTCGTTTTTATTTATCTCCTAGACTCTTCCTTTGCTTTTAAACAGGTTCTCTTTAAGTTCGATATTTCTTCAAATGCTCATTGCTCAATCTACTGAAATTGACGGCAAACATCAGCGACATGATTGCGCTGACATCGAGCAATCTGTGCAAAAAGAGTGCAAAAGATTTTTCAGAGAAAAACATGTCAATTTTTCTTCTCCAAGTCACTGCACGCACACGTGCTTCGTTAAGAATTTCGGAAACACCGATCTTAGTTATCTAGCGATAACAGTCATATATAATTACAACAGTCGACAACGAAGGTAGGACGTATTTTCTTCTTCCACGATTCTCGATTTACTGCCGAATAAAGTGCACCAGACGAAATGACAGCGAAAGGCATGGGATTTCTCGACCAATCGCGATCAGTTCGATCCAATTTCCCGTCATGACAAAAGAGGAAGATTACGTCGAAAGAATGAAGAAATCCGGGGCACAGCGGCACAGGGAAGAGTATAAATGAAAATTCTACTTTGATTCGTGAGTGAGAAAATTGAAGGAGAAAGAATAAATATTCGAGGTTATTTAGGGGATTTTAGCTGACGGCTCTGTTGATGTAGAATGTAGAGAAATTTTTTGGTATCGCCGAACGAAAGTTAGGAAACCGATGGAAACGGGTTATCGGACCAATTTGCTTCACGATGCGAGTTAGAATGGTCCGCTAATTGATCCGCCAAGTATGCGCGTAACATCGGCCGTTACAAACGAGTCGCGAACAAAGAGCTGCGCTAATTTGGAGAATTCAGTTACAGGTCTAACGGCTATTGTATACTATAGTTCATCGTTTCTATTTCAAAAGTAACACCGTAACGTACATATCGAGGTTTGTTGAACCGTGAGAAATAAAGATTAATCCGTTAACATGTAGCAGCTATGCGGAATTTAAAAATCAGTTATTGAAATATCTCCGCAAAATTTAATACGGAGATTGTTGCAGAATTGAGATAATCAAAATTCAAGATATATCTTGTTAGTATATTTTTTGATTACTTACGTTTGCTGTATTAATTATATTTAAGATGTTTTTTGATGTTCTCTTTGTCTTGCATATGAAGCTTAGGAATTTTACTTAAATAGTTATTAATGTTTGTCATTGACTGATATGATACTGATATTAGATAATTATGATAATTATTTAAATCAATGCCATTGCACGGATTTCTCTCGACAATTGCAAGTTCTTGTACTTAATCTCATATACAGGAGTATTTATATATTTGTGTTGGTGCTGGAATGCTTGGTTTTCGCGCCGATGCTTATATCTATAATTAATCATGGCGAAAGCATTAGCTCCATTGACACGAAGTTTATGTTAGCCCGTTGAACGAACTTGATAAATCGCTATAGAAAATTTACATGCGTCATGATGTGACGCATTAAATTGACCAGACTAGCGAGTGCAGGTTATACCGAGTATATATGTATTGTACTTTGCACCGTACATATTTTTTATTGTTATGTTTTCTTACGCTAATTTTTTAAACAGTCTATATTCAGTAATTTATCTGTAATGTACAAAATTAACAATTGACGGCTTGCTTTCTCTAACATTGTTACAAAAATCAATATCTTATTTTTCATCTTTTTTTTTTAATCTCTTAAATCAAAGGATACTCTATATTTCAAATAAAGTTATATAAATATTGTAGATTGTCAAAAGGTATATCCTTTGTCCTATATGATTTCCTCCATCGTAACTGAATACATTAATTTTATGAAAATCCTCTTCATGCAACCCATCCCGGTTAACGATGTTGTTGTATAAATAAAGATAGAGCAAGCCCTGGTAATCCGTTTATTCGTGATTGGATTTCAGGCGATTCCATAGATATGCCACGAGATTTCCTTCCTCCCTCGAAACTGTCGTTGAAGGCTATTCGATTAAATATAGTATTTTCATGATATATTTATTATATGATGTTCGCTCCAGAATTAAGCAGACCCGTATCTGCTAAATTGATTTTTTTCTTCTAAAAATTATTTAGCAAACTGGACAATTACAATCTTTATACTATAAATGTTTTAAACTGTTAAATATTTACTTTTTATTCAAATCTGACAGTTAAATATATTAAATATCTTTGTCTTAAAATAATCTTTCTTGAAATTTTACGTAGTTATCTTTTGTAATTAATTTGAATTAATTTGTTGCATTTATTGAAGATGTTTTCGTTAGTATACATCGCTTAATACATACGATCTTCTGGTACTGTTTTAAAATGAGCACATCGAGTTAATAAAGTGCGACGTGTTTGTGGCAAATGGTATAGAAATGCGTTTTGCAAATGACATGCTCTTAATCGTTGAAAATTATTCAAGACCGCGAGCTTTGTTGTGATAGAAAAACAAACTTCTCGTCCGCCGTTTTACTGCCGTGCGAATGGCGCATAAATCTCCCTTTGTAACTCGTTTCCGATGGACTACGCAAACGTAACGCAAACCAGATTTCCACTACGAGAGAAATAGAATGCACAGTTAATTACGTATTTTACGTAAGTCGCACGTAACGTTAAAATTTACTAAAATCGTAAATAAATCGTTGAATCACGCGAACTCAAATTTGTAACATCGCGATCATCGTGAAAAGATTAGGCTGACACATGCAGCGTGTGAGCTTGACACAAGTGTTAATAGACTTGCGTGACTTTAAATTATAAAGCACGTAGATGAGCTTTCCGGATAAGTCACACGGTTTTATTTTCGACGCTTTACAACTTTATTAATATCCATGTTAGTAACGCAACGCATATTTTCAAACGCGGATAATTAACGTGACGGAAAATGTAACGCTGATCGTTCAAATTAATTTGTATGAAGTATAAAAATCATTTTATAAATTTGATCAATATATTATTATACTTTTATTACAACTTTCTGCTATAAAAAAATATGACTTATTGATAAAATATATTAAATTATAATACATATCTTTATATTACATTTTGGGTACGATGTCACATTAGCTCTTTTAATATATAATATATTGTTATAATTTCTGAAATTTGTAAAAATTTGTATAAGTCGTTGAATGTCAAAAGAAGATTTTGACATTCTCGACTTTGCCTACAAATCGAGCTGAAATGTTTAGTTCACCATTTATACTATACGGAATCATGCTGGAAGAGTAATTTCCTCCGGGAATTCTTCCTAATATGAGAGGGTTCAAGGGTTCGATAGCGTTTTATGTGTGTGTGTGTGTGTGTGTGTGTGTGTGTGTGTGTGTGTGTGTGTGTGTGTGTGTGTGTGTGTGTGTGTGTGTACGAAATAGGAGGTAGAAGAAACCTCTTCTCTATTTGAACGGAATCTTGTTTAAAATAATACTGCTAGAGCAAAATAACCGATTATCGAGAGGAGGTTTTCCTATTTGCAATTTTGGAATGGTTATCAATAATTTACGGGAATGTTATTTTACGTCAATTTGGCATCTAATTTTCTTTCGACGTTTCTTGCGCTCGTCTAACTCTCTTCCGCCCATCCATTTCAATTTAGATTTCGTGAAGCTCAATTACACTTGCTATCGAAGTAGGTGCAATTTTAATCGCATGAACTCTTCTCTTTCATTCTTCGATTCAACGCATACAACGACTGTATTTTATGTAAGAGATAAATGCGCTTATATACCGTAAATATCTGTAGCCTCGGGAAAAATCGATTACAACGCGAATCCATCTCACCGCAAATACTTTGAGATGCAACAATCTACTCTTTCCATATGGATAAGTCTATCAGGATTTATGGTAAAAATTTCACCTATAGATCCTATCTTCTATTTGTATGATTTTGTTAAACACAGGTTATATTATTGACCAAACTGACATTTATTTTTATTCCGTTAACTCGACGTTTCGACACTGGTTTTGTGTCCTTATCAAGAGATTTCTATATTTATCGCAATTGCATTAGTTGCTCACAAAGTTCTTGCCGTTTAACTAACATTGTCAAGGTTTAAAAAAGTCGTAGTCTAGAGCGAGCCGCAGTCATGGTGTGAACGGAACAGACCGGTGACACGTCGTTCCGGATCGAAAGACAGCGACTGACGAGATTTTGTTAAAGTTTAGTTTGTGCTATATTCTTATAGAGTCTTCCCAGAATTATTTTTAAAACATTACACAGTTAACTTGATACTGATTAATGGCCTTTATATCCTTCTTCTCGCGTTCTTCTTTCATAGTTCTCTACTTTTAAGTAATATTTATCGAATAAATCATTCACGATAATATAAGCTTAAAAGAATCGGGGTTAATAATTAATCGGTTATTAATTTAAAAAAATGAAAATAGTTACATAATTTTCAGAAATGAGAATTTTTCAAAATGTTTTTAAATCAATTTACAATTTTTACGACTGGTAAAAAAACGAGCTAGAATTGCTGAATTATTTTTTAATGGAAATTTATTTCATGTTATTTGTAGATACATCGTACAAATGAAAAAGTAGAACATAATATATTCGTTCGTAGAATTTATACGTTTCTATGCAAATTACATTAGGATCGCGGAAGGAAATATAATTATTCATTGGCTTGGTTAGCATATTATTCTTGTGAAATTTTCTACTATAGAAGAACGAAGAATCCTTTTAACATGAGTTCAACCTTTGCGGGCAAGTCATCTTTCTCTGAGTGATACCTCACAGGAATAATATTACATGAAAATATGAATGTGTATGAAAATATCAATGTGTATTAATATACAAAATGTGTGGTTATTCCCTTAACTGAATTTAGAATGGTTTAAACATATTTTTTTAATATTTTGTTAATTTTTAAAATTCAACGTAATTAAATGCAATTAAGATAAATATTTTGTATTTTCTATATTAATCGTGCTTTAATTATTTCAATCATACGTTTATCTATTTACGTCCTGAATGTGACTTTTGCCATTTTATTTATTTAAATTAAAACTTATAATTGAATATATATTTTAAGACTTGCTTGGGGATAATAAATTTGTGTGTTTAAAATAAATTAAAGAAATACATACTTAAAATGTGAATCACAGTTTCATATTTTTTGTTCAAAGTTTTCTGGACGTTCATTAATTTTTTTCTTTTTATACTTTCACGGCAAAACAAAGAATTTCAAATCAGCTTTTGGTTATACGGACGCGATAAATGGTAACTCTCTCGGTAGAGCTTTATGACGTTTCTCCCGGTTTCTAAGGAGATTTGGCATTTTCCTAAAGCTTTTCCGAGTTTACCATTTTGCTGTATTCTGAAGAGATATCTAAAGTTTTCTAAATGTCGAATTCTTTCTAGAATTATGCCATATTTATCAGATCATATTGATTTATTCTGAGAATGTTATAAATAAAGAGCCTCTCTCTCATTTATCGTATATATTTTTTATTTTCACGTATATAAAAAGGTTTATACGTTGAAACGGATTTTAGATAATAATTTAGATGGATTTAAGGGAATGTGATGTAATTTGTTTTGAAAATTGGTACATACATCATATACAATAAACTTACGCTTTAATACACTTGTAGGTATATGTCACGTAAGCTGAGACATAAAGCGGACTTGAAATGTTAAATGCAATATTTGAAATGTGGAATAAGAAGAACTCTGATGCATCCATAAAGAGCACACATTTATCATAGGCATTATATGTGACAATCATTAGTGTTACATTTAATAAAACGTGTACGCTAGTAATCCATGTAAATAAAACAACGGCAACTTTAAAAAATTTCTTTTTTGATGGAGCCGATATGATGAAACTTTAGATAATCTCGACATATCAGTGGATCGTTACATTGCGGGAACATACCTGTCGTTCACCAGCCATGCCACCCTCGTACATGCTTCCTCGTCGATAATACACCGCCGGCATACAAAATTTCAACGATACGAATCCACCGGGACCCCGTCTCTAGTCTTATCGCACTATTATATATTTTTTTAAATCTATCGTTAATTATACTATATTCTGTTTTTAAGGTCGTTTATTATTGTGCCTGTCACGATTGTTTTTTCGGTTATATCTTCGTCTTCTTTCTGCTCTTCTCCTTAGCCATCGACTTTTTGTTCCGGCTTTTCGTATGATCAAAATATACTATAAATCGTCAACGTCGTTAAGATATGTATGCTCGTCTCTTATATGTATAGAAATATTACTTTTCTCTCTCTATTTCTCTCTTTCTCTCTCTCTCTCTCTCTCTCTTTCCTTAGTGCAAGTGATCTCGTGTTCTTTTTAACAAGTGATATTTTGGAACTCTTTTATACTTCGTCGTTTCTTAAGCCGCTTTCTTGCGCGGCGCGCGACGGTGGCAACAAAAATAGACGCGCGTACGACGGTCAAGTATGTGCAATATGTATGTATGTATATATGTATATGTATATATTTGTCTATATATCTGTAGGAAGATCACTGGTTGTTTAGGCTGCTACTACAGGTCCAGAACTTGTCTTCAAGCAAGTGAGGTCGCCGTGTCGAGCCGAGCTCGCTCTTGCAAGTTCGTCGTCACCTTCTCAACGAGGTGCATGACCCGTTGACGGCAAAGTGGATTGTTGCTGATCCTCGCCTTCTCGCGATCTTTTTTTTCTTAGGCTCTGGTTTTGTCCTCTCGTTAAAACGATCGTTGACGCGCTATTTTGACGCTATAGGGTTACTTCTCTCGAAGACGCCTTGGCGTCGGTTGGAAACTCCGAGTCTCGAAAGTTTACTCCTCGAAGTGGCGCTCCGGGACCCAGTGTATTCCAATAATCGTTATGCTCGTTCGTGTACTCGGATTGAACTCGCCGGACCGATCTTTCTCGCGAAAGATGTATCTACGACAAATTGAAGGACCTTTCGATCGGAAAGATTACAGGCAATTGTTTAGGCTAGGCGAGGAATCTGCTCCCACGCGGATCGGCACGCGTGATTGACGGTCAACGATGACGACGACCGCTCGTTAAGGGTGCACGACTCGTCGCTGGTGTCTCGCGTGCGCGCGTACACAGTGTGGGCGGCGACATGTGAGCCACGCTGATGTGTGTATGCACCACCTATATTTGCGGTTTTTCGGCTCTCTTTCCTGACTATGACGTTGTCTTCTAACTCGCGTGCATACTTGTACACCGCAACACGTATCTATCTGTATCGCGCGTATCGTTGATTGCGCGACTATTGATGCGACATGTGTGTATACGTGTGGATATGTAGATGGTGTGTGGGTTATATTGTGCGTGTGTGTGTGTGTGTGTGTTATATGTGTGATTTTAGGAAAAATGGATATGCGTGTATCTGTGTGCACGTATCACTTATACGTGTGCGCACACTTAGGCACACGTGTCCGTACGCGAGTACGCGACGCCGTTTCGCAAGGGTGAGTGGTTGAACCGTGAGAGGAGCATATATGTATCTATATATGAGGGCGAGTGACGTACGTAAGGGATGTATGCTTGTGTATGTGTGCGCGCGAGAATGACGGAGCGCGTGTCGGCTTCGAGAAACAGGTACCGACCTGCCGAGTGCCTAGGGGAAGACTGGACTCGGAAGCAGCGACTCGGTGCTCGGTGGCAGGATCCACGGGGAACGACGAGTGCGGCTGTGTGAATCTGTCTCGCTCTCGCACTAGTATTCCCACCCCGAATCCGCCTGTTACCCTCTCGCTCCTACTCTCGCTCTCGCTCTTGGTGTACGTGAACGAATGAACGGCTGCCGGGCACAGGCGCGCTGCTGCCTCTCTCCACCGACCGAGAATCAATACGTCGGCAGCCCCGTACTTTCGCCCGCGAAATCTCAATTTTTACGCCCGACATCGAGCCGAGTCGTCTTATTTTCGACCTTAGTCATCCCCGGGTTGGTGCGACACGCTCTGTCTGACCTCGTGCGTAACGGCAGCCGGGAATGACTTGGGGATCATTGTTTGCGACTCGATAGAGTCGCGTTTTTGCATGCTCCGTGATGCACCGTCCAGGGGAACGCTCACTTTTTGCCCCTCTTTAACTGCCTAAAAAGCGCGGGAGATCCTTGTTCTCAATGAGAGTTTGATAGGAATCGAAAGACGATGTCGATGGTAATTTTTTATGTCAACATGAATTCTAGGCTTATTATAAAAATTTGCGCACAAGGAATAGTGAGAGAGGAAGAGAGGGACAAAGAGAGAGAGAGAGAGAGAGAATATCGAGGCAATAGATTTGCAGATATATAAGTTGTTTATATCTAATTGTTAATAAGATGTGCTTATAAATGTTTATTACGCAAGCATTATTAATTTTTTATGTCTATATGAACATTGTTATTGTTGCTAATCTAATATGAACTCGTTGAATAATTTTAATGAAACTCATATTATTATCAGTAAATATAACGTGCAGAGTTTTAAGCATTCGAGTTTTTCCATCAAGTGTTTATAGAATACAATTAACGCATGGAAAAATTATAATTACGACTTTCCAGAATTACGAAATGTCGGAGGTGTGGCTCTGGCGTCAAAGTTCATGGAGAGATGAAATTTGAAAGCTTATATTTATGTTGCATATTTGGCCTTTAATGTAGCTCTTCGATTCTCACGTCAGTTTTAACACGTACGTTCGGCGACCGTGAAGCGCTTCGCTAGAGCGTTATAATAAGATTGATTTGTAATCACTCGTGATTGGAAATTAGATAATCCTGCTGTAATGTCTTGTCTAGGTTCTTACCTTGATACTGAATACAGTAGTGTAACATGATTACGAATAATGGAGCTATCGTCATCGGATACATTAAATTTCAGAATTAATGAAAAATGTGACACAATTAGGGTTTCACAGAAGGGTGAGAGCTTCGATAGCGTAATTATTATCGGAGTGAAAGAGGAAAATGTGAATAACTGCAAGACTTAATTTATGGGCATAATAGCAAATTTATATGTACTTCGTCCTTAATGAGAAAGTCGCTTGTGAGAAACGCTGTCTCGGCAGTATCAATAACAAAATAATCCGTGATAAGGAGACACCAGAAACGAATTGTCACGACTCGCACGAATGAGAAACATTACCTAGGAGATGAGAGACCTGAAAAAAGTTGAGGAAAAGAATTGGACAGCAAGAAAAAAAATAACTTAGGGTAGCGAAATGACCGAACAAAGGAATGACGTGATTGTCATATGTATATTTGTGGTAGCCTTATAGTTTAAAAAATCGTTATTACCGAGCGATACCGCGAAAAAAGAAATCTTTGGACGTGACAATGATTACTTTTTTAAAGCTAACTAAGAGAAGGAAGACACATTTACTGCTCTATATCTATTTGAAAGTTCTAGCTAATTGGAAGATACGTATGTACTTCTACACGGCATCAATGGAGTATCTGCGTATGCGATGGCATATATAGTCGGAAGTACATAGGTACTCAGCTAGTACTGGGGCTAGTACGTATATTCTCTCGCTTTTCTGAGTAGCTAAGGATTTCTATCTCGCATGAGACATTTGGCCATGCGTCGTCAATGTTGAATTGAAGAGTCGTTGAGCAACAAATACTTGCAGCGATTACAAACTTGCCAAATATGTTATGCGTGTTATAGGTAGTAGCTATAGAAGTTGAAAGTGCCATCTCTGAGCGCATACATTATAAAGTTATTTATAAAATAACTTTATAAACATGTTTTTGCGTTTTTGTCTAATATAACAATACAATATTATTATTTAACATACGCCGCGCTGGGGAAGCGAGGTGGATGCTGTGCCTAATATCTTTCTTGAGAGAAATACGTATCAACGTGGCGCGGCGCAAGAGCAGTGGTACGAAATATGAGGTACGCTCGAGTGTATGGATAAAAGCCGCAGATTACGACGTAGGGGTAAAGGTAAAGCGACAGGAAGGCATCCTAAATGATACACACGAGGGCGGAAATTTCTACGGACCAGCGAGCATGTTCTGGAATTAAGGCGCGTTGCGAGATGTGCATTTTAAGCGATTTCCTTTTACGATATCATCGAGATGAGAAGGAGTAAATAAGATTGCACGGATGTAGATACGTAAGATAGTTAATGTAAAATATATTTATGATGCTGTACCGAAGCAGGTTGCAGCGGGTACATATCTTATACTCATCTGCCGTAAATGGCTTCTACAGTCTTTCAAATACGGTACGTTCCCGTAGTACCTAGGCACTATCTAATACCATAATACCATATTTTATCGCGTGAAAACTGAATGAAGAATTTCGTGGCAGGCTTAGTGTTTTTATTCGATTCCTCCTTGAATCTCCGAAATCGATACCGAAATATTCCGGTGACACGTCGATCGCTGTAAATTTCGGTAAATTAGCGTTCTTGCACGTTTACTTGCTCCTCCCTCGAGTTGCTCTAAGTTTCATTTAAAGATTTTCTATCGTCGTGTCGCAAAAAGTGCTACTTCTTAAGAACAAAGTTCGCAGTCTTCGGAAAGTAGCGCCAGCACTTTCAAGTCTTTTGGTTAATTGACGGCAAAAAACACATAATAATACAGATAAAAGCGAAAGGAAAGTGCATTTCTTCTTTAGTAAGAAGTGATAAAGTTACGAAAGGCATTGTAAACTATCAAGAATTGTAAGTAAATTGAATGTCTGGAATCTAAATCAGTATTATGATTTCAGAGCAGTCATTAGCGAAAATTCGCTGAATTGATTCATTCTTTGCGTATTCTTAATTTATTATTTATAAAATTTGATTCTTGATAAATTACTTTCTTGTTAGCGACATTCAGCTATATGATTTATGATATCTTACTATATTGCGATATAGCAACACGTGACAGAATAAAAAGTGCACTGAAGAAACGCAGTCTTCCTATTTCTTTTATGATTTTCAATTAAGGCACCGTTTGGCAATATTCCTAACTGGATAGATTCCAGGTTACGAGTTGATGGTTTTAAGAAAAACTTTCGATATGACATATATGTATATGTAGAAATTTTATTCTGGAAGAGCTGATATCTGTAAATCCTGAAATTCACTAAAACTTGCTTATCTTAAATTCGTAATAAAGTCAGTCTTTTTCATCTTGCATTGATCTGGAAAACTTTGCTTCGTTCGTCGAATGGGTTTCATTTTTACAGGATCTTCCATCTCCATATCAAATTCAGCAGATATTTTACGGAGATTCATAAAAAAAACCTGTAACCGCAACAGATTAGTTAGCGAATGAAAAACTTTGAGAAAAAAAATTCAAAATAATCGCTCTCTAAGTCTATCTTGGTTTTTAATATAGAAATAATGAACGAACAATTTAAATATTTGTTTCTTTGAAACTTCGAAAGAAATTTTATATATAGATATACATATATTGTGTGTGTGTGTGTGTGTGCGTAGCACATTTGAAATGCATTATGTAATCATGATTAAAATATTATTTCTTTATTTTATATGTTAACTTTAATTAGATTGAGATTTTTACGGAATTTTTATGGCAAACTAGAAAGTTGCACATAAATTCTGAAATCTATTCATCTCACTCTAAGCTTCGCGTTGATACTTAAGTTAGTATACAGGATATATCCCTATTTATGAAACTCTTTTACTCACTGCAAACTGCAAGCATGTCAAATACGGCATGTTTTATGTGCGAAGGAATACATAACCCGTATAACAAGTTACGATCGAAGGCGCCATTTTATGTCTGTCGCATACGAACAGTTATTCAGAATAATATTGGACTGTCTCAGAGATGCTATTTCCTCGAATAATATGCAATAACAAATTTAAAAAAAATTGCAATTTTATTCCTTAAGAAAATACATTTGTGAAAGGATTGAAGAAGTTCAATTTCGTGTCCATATTTGTTTGCAAAAATCCATGAAGATTTTAATGTAAATTTTAAATGAAAATGATAGTAATGATGAAAAAGATAAGCATCTAAATAGATTTTTAATTATTATCAAAATGAAGCTCTAGTGTATATCTAAAGCTACATTTAGATCAAGTAAACGAGCATGAACAAGCACGAATGAATATAATACCTTGCTTTAATGGATGCAAATAACATTGCGAATATAGACGCACTGACTTTATACTTATCGAAGCAAGTTATTTATTCATGTTTGTTTGCGCTCGTTTGTTTGGTCTGAATCCGGCTTGATGGAGCAAAAATATATTTATTACGGAGATTTTCGAAGTTGTGTAAATAATTACGTTTTTGTCATAGTTACGCTTGGCCATTTGTAATAATAACTAATTGTTTCTTTAATATATATAGACATCGTCGTGTTGACGAAACTGTATAAACATCATGCTTAGCCGACCATGTGAAGCCTCTACAGAAAAACAAACAGATAACAATACAACGTCGACACTTGCAAATTCGAAGAATAATGTTGCTTTCTAGTGTTCTGCTCTATTATCACATGGAACAATCAGTCGTTCACATCGCTAGTCATCTATGTATAACTCTAAGTGTAACACATCACATTTAGGTAGCCGCAGGTACTTTCGACACTGCCTATTAAAGACTTACCATCGATGAGCCCATTATACCTATGTATGAAACTCAATTTCG